TGACACATTACTCCCCACCCGTTGCTACGCCACATAAACTAGTTGTCGTAGGTTAATACTACAAACCAGTCGTACGTATGTCGGATTCTTAAAATAATTGACCTTATGGGACCTAGTTCGTATCAGTGGGTGTTTGTAAGTGGTATTTTTTTAAGTCAGGGACCGTATATATATATATATATATATATATATATATATATATATATATATATATATATATATATATATATATATATATATATATATATATATATATATATATATATATATATATATATATATATATATATATATATATATATATATATATATATATATATATATATATATATATATATACACACACACACAGTGGTCCCTCTGTTAACGAACGGTTCGATTAACGAACTTTCGGTTAACGAATTACCTCCCATAAGGATTTTCAATTCAGTTAACAAACAAAACTTCGATTAACGAAAGCCTTACAAACAACACGTTTTGTTGTGAGCATCAGCTGATTGGCTGATGGGCTAGTCTGCCAATTCAGTAATTTGTTCTATGTTTATATTCGTTTCCAGTGGAGTAAATATCAAGAAATTTGTGCTCTTTTATATTTTTGCATTTTTTATATTAAAATTATTAGTCATTTAAAAATTTAGTTAACATATTGATAATATATGCAGTACAGGGAACTAGTTTTTTGTGCGCCCATCATCCGCTTGACTCAGCCACCAGGCGTCAGTTTGGCTTTGTTGACAGTGGAGTGAACATCTAATTTGTTGGTCTTGAATATTTTTGCATGTTTACACTGAAATTTAGTTAACATGTTGATAATAAATAGCACAATGCAGTGTTGATTTAAATAAAATAATCTTGAATTACACCTAGTGAACTTAAATTTTATTGATGAAATTACTGCATCAAGCATGGGTCCCCTGAAAAGTGATTTCCCCTCCATCCCCACTTCCTTCTCTTCTCCCTTCTCCTCCTCCACCCCCCACTTCTAATTCCCATCATCGTCATCAACCAGGAACCTTCTACATACACACCTCAAAGTAAGTGTACTTTACTGCATTTTTTCTTTACTTTGTATGTACTTTTCTGTGAGCTGGAACCAATTACCCAATATCCCATTGAAACAATGGATTCGATTAACGAAATTTTCAGTTAACGAACAACTCTGTGGAACGAATTGTGTTCGTTAACGAGGGACCACTGTGCATATATATATATATATATATATATATATATATATATATATATATATATATATATATATATATATATATATATATATATATATATATATATATATATATATATATATATATATATATATATATATATATATATATATATACATACAGTTAAGCGGTCAATAAAACCCACAGGGTACCGTGTTAAGTGAAAACCGCGCTAAGTGAACAACAGAACATATGGGATTAATTCCAATAGAAACTGGCCCATCCCCAAACTCCACTTTTTCCGACACAATACCTAGGTTCTAGTAAAAATAACATCTTAATTTTATGATGGTACATGCACACAATTAATACTTAAGAGAAATAGAGAAATACAGTTGCCAAGTTAATGTCCATTCAAATAATGGACTCAACTCCCTCCCCCTCTTCTCACACTACACTGCTGGCTCTTCCCTCTCTGAGAAATTTTTGGGGGTAAACCACTAAATTTTAATAAATAATACCTCAAACTAAAGTTAGGATAATACAATTGACATTGCTGGATTCCTTGTAAGACCAGGAATATTTTGAATATAAATGTCATATATTTTGCACAAAAGGTAACATATTTACTCAGAGTAAACATTATATCTAAAATTTGTATGTCTAGTGCAAAATCTATGATGTTTATATTCAAAATGATCACCAAATTGTAAGAATTCCAGCAACGTAAATTATATTCTGGACGGGTAATTTGTATGAATTTTATGAGCTAAAACAAATATCTTCAGTTAATAAAAAAAAAAATATTCTTCAGACACTATCTGTCAATCAAAGTACCCCACCTTGCCTCCCCCACTCTTCCAACCGGGCCAGATGGTCGGTCCATCCCAACCCTCCCCCGCACCAACCCTCCCTACAAGAGAAATGTTGGGTGAAAATACTAAATTTTAACAATTAGTAATAAATAATACCTCAGATTAAAGTTAGGATAATATAATTGACATTGCTGAATTCCTTGTAAGACCAGGAATATTTTGAATATAAATGTCATATATTTTGCACAAAAGATAACATATTTACTCAGAGTAAACAAAATACTTACATTAATCTAAAATTTGTATGTCTAATGCAAAATCTATGATGTTTATATTCAAAATGATCATCAAATTGTAAGAATTCCAGCAATGTAAATTATATTCTGGCCGGATAATTTGTATGAATTTTATGAGCTAAAACAAATATCTTCAGTTAATAAAAAAAAAAATATCCTTCACACCGTGCCAGATGGTCTGTCGGTCCCTCCCTTCCCCCCACCCCCCCCCACCAACCCTACCTACCAGATGTGTGAGAAAACCAGAATATTTACGTTTTTAGTAATAAATAATACCTCAGATTAAAGTTAGGATAATATAATTGACATTGCTGAATTCCTTGTAAGACCAGGAATATTTTGAATATAAATGTCATATATTATGCACAAAAGATAACATATTTACTCAGAGTAAACATTATATCTAAAATTTGTATGTCTAATGCAAAATCTATGATGTTTGTATTCAAAATGATCATCATATTGTAAGAATTCCAGCAATGTAAATTATATTCTGGCTGGGTAATTTGTATGAATTTTATGAGCTAAATAAAAAAAAAATTATACTTCACCGCGTATATGGGTAGATGAACCGCGTTAAATGAAAGTTCGGTTCTGGTGAGGCACCGCGTGTATGAGAAATCGCGTTAAGTGAAACCGCGTAAAGCGGGGTAATACTGTGTGTGCGTGTGTATGAATATATATATATATATATATATATATATATATATATATATATATATATATATATATATATATATATATATATATATATATATATATATATATATATATATATATATATATATATATATATATATATATATATATATATATATATATATATATATATATATATATATATATATATATATATATATATATATCACATAAGATACAGAAAAGAAAGTATAGTACATAATCATATGTAACATTTGCTTCGTTAACTTGAAACTACCCGGTAAGTAGTTTATGAGTACAGGGTATCTGTATAATTATCTACCTAAAGAACTGAGATGAGTCAGGCCTGGTAAAGTGTGCTGGACAGTGATGGCGCCTCCCCTATTGAATCAAAGCTTGCAAACAGATAAGATATATTTCCTTTAAGGCAAACATGAAGTTGAAAGATGTTTCCTCAAGGAGATATAACATGTTGAGAATAAAAAAAATGGACACATTATGAGAGTAGAAGTAGAAAATTTTTTCCAACAGTTACAAAAGTAGGAAGATAATATAAATGAAACTGGGATGTATTTTGGCACGGCAGACTTTGGACCAGTGTGAGTGAAAGACAGGATGTAGGAACATGTGGCTGAGAAATTAATCAATGGTGGAACCTGTCAAGAGACCAGAATGATTTGAAATGAGAATCAGACAACGAATGAATATGAATAAAACAAAAATTAGAAGCCAGTTTTAGAGACATAAATAGACATGTCTTTCCCCATCCAAACCACATACTGGTATATCAAAATGTTTTACTCTTAAGTCCATAATACTTCAATACAAAAGTTGTAGAGGATATGATGATGATGATGATGATAAAAATGATGAATGGTAAGTGTAATTTTTACTCGCTTTTCTATTCGTGTGAAAAATACAAGACAAGTTACTGTCATGTGTGCAATGGAATTTTAAGTGCCAAAGGGCCATAACTGCCAAAATCTGACACAGCAACAAAGATGTAAAATATGATCCTCTTTAACTGATGACAACTGAACAAATCAATCCAGATAAAAATGTAAAACTTGCTTTTATCCTAAGTTTATGATGTCATTGTAAGCACCCTTAAGTCACTGGGTATAATAATTATCAATACCTATGAGTCAATTGGCATTGCTATGAGCACTGATGTAATAAACAGCATCATTATTTGCAACATGGTTTTATATTAAGTACCTATAGGGCAACTTGGACCATTCAAAGTACTTGAGAAGCTTTAGATGGAATCATAGTTTGTCGAGCATCTTGTGTCCTTGTGATTCTATTAATGAGGATTTGTCATATATCTGGAGTGGTGAAAGTGAATATATGGTGCCTAGTGACCTTGGTGTCCAGGAAGAAAGTACAGAACCCCATTCACACTATGAATATCAGCAAGAGACTTAGCAATATTATGAGAAGTAATGATACAACTTGCGTTGACATTATGAACATCCATGGGAGAATATGCAAGGACTTGGGAAGTCTTAATCCCTCAAGCAGCGGGGTGAATTATGCAAAATGCTTAAGAGGTTTATAAGACAGCTCTAAATGAAGACACGCTCCCAAAGCACAAGAAAAATCCGAGATGAAAATTTCTGGTAAAAAAATTGCACTTGAATCTATGCCCTAAAGGGCTATAATCTGGTGTAGCAACACGTAGAAGAATTTTATCATCTTCAATAAATTAACCATACCAAGCATCAAATATATCCAATGAAAAATGTAAGAATAATCATTATCACAAGTTTGTGACAGATAGACTGATGGGCAAGACAAAATAAACATGTCTCCCTCTAGTGGGGGTGAGTAATACAGTAATATAAATAAAATATTCAAGGACTTAAAAAGAAAAGTGCTGTGTTTTTACATCACATGTTGTAATCTACATCTGATGCAATAATTTGTGAAAAGAAAAAATATGGGAACCTATACATGACTGGGTAATTATGTTGTACATAAACATATCCTCAGCTACACAGGTGTTTTAGACATAAAAGATGTACATTATTTCACCTTCATGTCAGGTTCTGTAATGAAACCCCTTTTAAAGATATAAGCTGCATTGTATTGTGATGTTTACTCACAATCAACAATATTTCTTTATTTATATAATAATATAAATATCAGTTACTTCCTCTTGACAGTACAAAAATATTTCAAACACTTTTTAAATTACAGAGAACATATCAATACAGTATACTGATATATTTCCTTACCAAGGCTTGTACAGTATGAACTTGGAGAGGCAGTAGTCAAACATTATACGTCCTGTATCACCTCACCAACATTATGAATCAATTCTTCCAAAGTGCTATAAAACATATTGCATTTCTATAAAACAGGTACGCGAGGGAAAGAATATACCTTCCATAATAGAGATAACTTAAAAGTATGAAAACTGGAAACCTATATCACAAATTTTATAAAATAGACATTTATTACATATAATAATTTTCTACCCTTTAAGCATGTAAAATCTCATGATTACTGCTTCTTAAATAATTTCCATATTTGCAACTACAAACAATATTCTTACACGCTTGTAGATAAGTACAAAAATAATAAAATCAACTATTGATTTTTTCATGTAAAAGACCCACCATCATAGAACCTGATGGTGCATTAGACTGCTTTAGTTGTTACAAATGTAAAGCAAGTACCATTCTCACAAATATATAAGAAAGTGGAATAACAAAATAGGTTACACCTGCAAGAATACAAACAGAAAATTTAAATGGTGCAGAAAAAAGAAAAAAAGACCATTTTTATGCAAGCATGTTCTGTTGGTCAATATTCAATGTTCTTTTAACCACAAACAGCAAGTTAAGACTATTAAACATCCTTACACTGGTCATTTCCTTTACTTCCTTTAACACATTCCAACTCATATTTTCAAATATAGGTCTGAGCAGATGATCATTTTGAAACAGGCTATGAGGCCCAACTATTATTTAATGCATAGCAATAACCCATTCTTAATTTCCCTTATTCACCATGTAATAACAGTGGGTGTTGATGAAAGAAATATTCTATGTATAGACTGCTGACTTTGAAGGAGCTGGTTATTTCGTCACACACTCGGCCATAAGTGCAGGCATCCAACAACACTATTCAATTACACTTCCAACTACAATTTTCTTTCAACAACACACTCTATCAAGTGAAGGATTATTTCACCGCCCAGTATTTCCCCCAAGTTTCAAAACCACAAATTTCATCACAGGACAGGACAATACAGATGATTCACTGAACTTGTGAGACTGAGCTAACACCGGGGTAAGTCAGAAATATACAATTAACCTTAATCTGCCAACGATGGACTACATTAATAGGAACTGAGAAGACTAAGAGTAATTATAGAATTTTGGCCTTGTGAGGTTATTAAAAAAAAAAAAAAAGCCTGCACGACTTTAACATCTACTGTCACATATTGATACTGTATCAAATAAATCTAGGAAAAGGGATCATCCAAGAAACATTCCTTTAAAGTTTTACCAAAATTAAGTTAGTAGTAATATCTCCGTTAGCCGGAATCTCTCAAACCCGGAACTCTCCGATAGCCGGAATTGATATTTTCTCGGAAAATTGTTCCCAAAGCCGGAATTTTCTGGAAAATTCCAGCTTTGGGAACGATTTTCCGAGGGGCACATTTTCTGGAAAATTCGAGGGATGGGAGTTTTTTTTTCCGGGTTCGAGAGATTATGTGATGGGCAATTTCTGGAACTTCCGAAAAAAAATTTCCGTTACCCGGAAAATTCTGGGGATGAGGGATATTTTTCTGGCTTTGAGAGAGTCGTCTCATTACCCAGAAATCTTTTATTCCCGGAAGTGCTCCGCACCAATTGTTCCGGCTAACAGATATCACTGTATTTTTGAAGGACAGTACGTAGTTAGAAATATGAAAAGTTTATGGACGGATAGATGGATGACCAACCAAGGCTAAAGCTTGTGTTGATGAGCTTAAACTCAGAGCACAACTCTGGACAGAATATTAAGTCTGGACTACACAACAGACCCTTCTATTGTAAGTCAATGCTTGAAATTTCAGAGCTGCTACAGAATACTGTACAATATTCATTAAATTTCTGGAAAAACTGACTATCTCGGCACTATTCCTTGGATGTCACCATTCCAAGCAGCTTATTTATACCCAAGAAATAAAAAAAATCCCTTTCAATGAAAATACTTAAAAGAAATAATCAATACTAATCAAAAAGCTTTAAAATCTAATACTGTACATCAAGTTTCTTGTGCTACACAAATAATACTAAAAGATACTGAAATGTTGTTCTTCATTGTTAATATATTTTGATTCAATTTTTTAGTAAGCAATATACCTGAGAAAAAAGTGTTTGAAAAAAAAAAACTATGCTAATTTTCTTGAGCCTATTTGATGGATGTGTGTACCTGGATATCCTTTGAACAAGGTAAATGGAAGAAGTAAGATGCCCAAAGATACAAGTTTATCATAAAATTACAGAATGTCACACTCTCTAATATTTACTAGGCAAAAGTTGGAGTCCATCAGAGATACCCCTGATCAGTGCCAACTCTTCAATGTCCCGGGAATCAAGATCATGGTACACTGACATCTCTCCTGTTAAATGTTTCATGCGAAAGTGGCGAATGAGGGAGTCTTTGCGTGAGGAGGCAAAACCACACACTCGGCAACGGAACTCCTTGGTGCCCAGGTGAATACGCAGGTGTCGTGTAAAGGTGTATGGGTTCGAAGTGATGAAAGGGCACTGATAGCACTTGTGTACACTATTATTGTTGCTTGTTGTAATTGTGGTGGAGAAGTTTGATGCTGCTGTTGATGGTGGCGATGAGGTAGGTCCACTGCTGCTGCTTTGTGTGTTGTTAGTAGAATTTGGGAAGGTCGGTACCACAATATTACTGTGAAACCCAAGAACACCACGCTGACTTGATGAGTGTGGCGGCTGCTCCTGTGGCTGATGATGATGGGAAATTGGTGGAGGAGGAGGATTTGGAGGTAGTGGTGACGGCAGTGCTGGATGACTCAAACTGGGAGGATGAACTGTCCCAATGTCTCCAACACAACCTTGGGCTAGTCTACCCCGCAACCAGGCACCCTGGTAGAGAGAATGGTAGGTGATACCACAACTTTGCTGAGGTAAGTGACAAGAGAGAAAGATCTCAGTTTGTTAGGCGTCTGTCTGCATTCTTTATTTTTGTTTTGTTGTGGTAGCTACCTACAATACCCTCCCCTGAGTACCTTATTATGAGTCCTGTATTTACTGACAGCACTCTTTCTTTTTTCTTTTTTTGTTAAGTACAAGATTGGCCAAGTAACTCTTTCACACACACAGTGGCTCGTGATGTTAAGACCACAGACATGTTATAATAATAATCTAAGATTCATATGCGAGAACCACACTAAGATGAAACACTGCTAATGTGACCTTTACTACACACCCTCAAATAAACTTACTCTCTGTAGTCCAGCTGTAACACCCTAGATACAGTACAGTATATGACTATTACTGCATGTAATTCTCCCACTGATGTGAGTGAGGTGATTGGTCTCTCCAGTAAGTCAGGTGCAACATATGGAAGTAATACATAAGAAAAAAGCAATATCTGGGTTTGAAGTAATACCATGTTTTCTCTACTACCAAACATACTAAATATTTTAATACTGTACTCACAATTTCAAGAAATACCAGTGGTTAAAAAAATTCCACATAGGCAAGTTAATTGTGCAAAACAAAGACACTGCCCCCACCCATGAATGAGTAATGAAGAGATGGTGAGCCACAGAGAAAGGCTCAGCAGTAGAAAACTTGGTCATAGTTATTATCAACATCAACAAACACAATAAAGAAGCAGACACACAGGCCCAGTTGAAAAAAAAAATAATAATAAAATGGCACAATAAAAAAAAAAGAGAAAAGATGCATAAATTATGAGTATAAAACAATTAACCCTTAAAAATAACGACCTGCCAAGTTAATAAGTTATCAAATGATAAACACTTGTGCAGAGCAATATCAAATGTGTACTGTATACCCAGTTCATATAACCAAAAAATATTGTACTGTACCTTAGTGAAAAGGATGTAAATTGTTACTTTCATACAAAACCTATGAACCATCCACAGGAAAATGCAAAAATTATAGACTGTACCTAAGTACTATTTACTATTTTGATAAAGTTATAAACAGAATTTATCTTTCACTGGCACTTGACTGATGCCAAGTACTGTACAGTACTATTATTACACAAGTATCAGGAAGAAAGGGTTTTAAATAACAACAGGTATTAAAAAATATGTCCCCTCTATGTGTATTAAATGTGTGCAATTATATGCTGCTTAAACAAAATACTGTACTGTATGCAGTATAGCAAATCACGACTAAAAATATTCAGCTCATGAAGATAGGATCTCAATACCCATTACAGTATTTGATCTACTGTACTTATGTTGATGGCACCATAACACATCTGCCCTACAGTAATTGAGTGAATTCAAAATTATGCTTTCTGTGTCTCAGCAATGTAAGTGGATGGACAGGTATTTTCTCCTAAAAATATGTTAACGCAATTAAATCTTCCTGCTTTATTACAAAGAAAGCCATTGTTAATTTAGTAGAGATTACCCATATCTTTTGAGAATACTGTATTAGTTAAAAAAAAAAGGAAGGGGGGATCCTGTGTTGTGCCTAACTACAAAATAGTCCCCCATAATAAGGTATGAAATGGTTTTTATTTTTATTTCTAAATAAAGTTAACTTGCTAAAACGTGGAGCACTTTCATTTCAGTTTCCTACTGGGGATGCAAAATTCAATTAAGGACCAAGATAGTGATATGATCTCCTCATTTAGTGAAAATAATAAAAAATAATTACATCACGTTCCGTATACAGTACAGTAATCATTTACAGTATACTGTATGCTGAAACTGCTCCTACAGCATTCAGATTTAAAACCTGAACATCACATTTTCTTGATCCTCAAAAGACAGCTTCTTTTTATGAGAGATAATGAGGTACTCACCCCAGTAGTATTGGCATTGATGTCATCTGATGCTGTTGACATGTCTCCTCGACTTTCATCGTCGTTTCGACTATCTTCACCTGTAAATTTTCAAGCTTGTTGAAGAAAAATAAGATTTTAAATTATCAATACTGTATGACAACTAATCTGTGATAATAGTACTGAACACCCTATTGAAAATACTGTAATTGTCTCACTGTAAAGCTAATAAAAGAGATGAGATAAATAAACTACCGACAATGAAAATGTGGATGAACATCTAAACATCAAAATATTGATGGGTAGTGGAACTGAGGAGAATGTTCTTTAACCTGGACACACACAGTAAGGGAATATACGTATGAGAGGGATGTACACGAGGAAGACTATGAAGGAAGCGGCTGGGAACTGGGTTGTTAGAGGCAAATACGTAAGAAGAGATTTACATCCATTCTATCAAACATTACAGGCCACTTCCTTCTATGTAACACCTCTTGTAAGACTAATAGGACACACACAACACAACAGACACACTCTGTACTTCCCCAAAACTGGACAGAGACAAAAACACATGTCAAAGACAATAAATGCCACTTAGCAGACCTCCACAAATACCAGTCACAGATCATCTCTGCTAGCACCCATCTCACACATATTCTCGCTCTCCTTAAATAGTTACTGTGTTTCTCAAGAGACACAAACACACATACTGTACCATAAAAATAACTGTGGAAGAAAACAATACATGATGGTTAAAGAGGTGCAACTTCCATCAATACACAAGAGGACAAAGCTGTGAGGATCTTTAAACACAGGATGATAGAGGAGAAAGCCCCTGTATAAAATCTGACCAAGTTTAGTTAGTCCCAACTAGTATGTTAGCTAAAAACAGCATAACTGAGAATGTCATTCACAATTAAAGAGGAAGAACAAGGTAAAAATTTCATCCACACAAGGGGAGTCCAGGTGCCCCCCTTTCTACACACCAATAAAACTAATAAACTATACAGTACTTAGCTTTCACCATCTATGTGATAATCCAAGAGTGGTGTGAAAACCCTCAGGTGAGAGGAGTTGCCATAGTGTGGGACATTTCCATAGGTGGAGTCAAGGTCAGTTTATACTAAAAGGACAATAATGCCCCATCAACCCTTCCTGGACAAGGGGCTAAATCTGTGTCTCATGGGTTAGGAGTCCAGAATGCTTGCAATTATGCCATAGTGCCCTTTCCATTATTTTTTTTTTACCTTACCTCAATATTCCTCTTTTCTCACACTCATTACTATCCTCTTTGCTGGTATACAACTATGATTTCTAGCTCATTCTTGCTGTTTTAATTCTCTCCATATCATTCAAGCACTTAATCTTATTAGAATTCCCATGTACAACTTGTCCCTCTTCACACACTTTGTTTTCCTAACCAAAGTCTTAATCTCAAAATGTTACTAAAGTACAAAATTTCTCAGCATGATTGGCACAATGTAATCCTTATAACAGTCCACAAGTTTAGATCAAAACAACAAACAGTCTAGGATTTGGATTCAGATTATGAGTCAAAGGTAATTTCCGTTCTCGTATAAAGTGATTTGTGGCTTGGATTAGAGGTCCATATAGTATATCATACACACATCAAACAGTTATAATATCAGAGCCAATACTAAAAGACTTACCATATATGCACTCAATCAATCAATCAGAGTACTATACCATCCTCATATCTGAGGGTTGGTGAACACAGTCCTTATATGCCAAATATACATAATGTAAAAAAGTAAGCTGAATGGAAGTTGCAAAGCAGCTGGAAGAGACAGCCCTAACTCACCAAACTCCATGATGGGTAAGCTGGGTGAGGCAACTATGGCAGCAGCCACTCCCTCTAATGCTCCAGGTATCGCAGCGAAGGGCAGCAGTCCTTGAGCATCATCCAAGGTATCACTGTTGATGGTGCCGTGACCTTCAGTCCACACCATCTCTCCGGGATAGTCTAATGGCTCAGTCTTAACTGTCTGTAAACACATACAGTATCTTACTACTATTACTGTATTACATACTGCTTAAATACTGTATAAGTTTAGTTGTAAGCCAAGAAACAATATGGACCATCTTACCCCAACAGAGAACAAGGTACAAGGGGAGTTTATTCTATCTAGATTACAGGGATTATACTGTACTTAGTACAGCCCAGTTTCAAGAGACTGTTCATTTTTCTATCAACCTTTCACTTAAAACACGGAGGTCCAGGCAAAATATTCTCCAAGTATCTTTACTGAACATCTCTAACCTTGTTTCCTAGGCAATAGACAAGAAACTGAAAAATCAAAAGTACTGTACTACTATATACTAAAGACTACAAACTCCACAATACTCTACTGTAGTTGCAAAAAAATAAAAAATTAATTGTGAATGTTCTGTGACCTCACTGATTCACTTCAAATTATTAAATTTAAAGTACCCTGTACTGCAACAGAACTAATGCTACAGCATCCCAAATTAACAAGAGCAACAAATTTAGCAAACATCTATAACATTAATATACCCTTTTTAATGACAAGCTGAAAAGGACTATTATTTTGAATATACTTTGTTAATGATTAATTTAGCATTTCCTAATAGATCATGTTGGCAATTTTTCATAAACTACTGTACTGGTATACAGTAGTACAGCATACTGCACTTTACACATTTGAACTACATTTATAAAGATGCTCCCTCTACCTATAATGCCTCTCCAAAATTCATGAACTATACAGCAATGCTTCCTGTCTTTATGAAAAAGAAATTATCTAAGCTCGACAATAAAAGTCACAACAAAGAAACAAAGAGACCACCAGCTCAAATGGCTAGTAAGCTGATAAGTGGTGAGATGATAAATCAAATTACACCCATTTTAATACTGCATAGAATAAATCTCTTAAACTATCAAAAAATGGTTCAAGATAAGCCCTTATATTACTTTACAGTTGGTTTACACAAACTCATACTTGAAAATAGCTATCCAATTAATTATACAGTACTACAGGCTACTGTATCGTAACTGTAAAAAATAATAAAATTAGTAAATGTTTAATTCTTTGTAAAAGAAGCTTTATTTAATATTTTGTAAGATTAGAGAAGATAGTTTCTTTATATTAGTACATGTATATGTACAATAAAAGGATATCCTGTATCATGTTATGGGAAAACAAATTAACAACCAATATTCTATTTCTGTCTCACAGTAGGGTACCTAATGCCCAATATCTGTTTCTCATGTTCAACTGTTCTTGCACCTCTTGAGAAACTGTATTAGGAAACACTTAACTAGGCATTCAAGTTATTCTTTAATTTATGCCATACAATCCAAATATACCACCCATACAAGTAAAGATAGTCAAGTGAATGGAAATGAAACTTCAAATTAAAGACATTATTAAGTGTACAGTAAAGAAAAGGTTTACTTACAAGTTCATCTACTGTCTCCTCTTTTGGCAAAATATTATCCCCAACACTGTTATTGGAGTTAACATGTCGAGCATCATTCTCCTCCGATGGCTTAGAGGCTTTAGAAGGAATGTCATGAGAAGTGGTTTTTGAGCTGGAATTCTTTGACGAGTTATGTTTGGAGGCTGGAGCATGCAGGCCTCCCCCCCTACCACCACTTTTGAGTGATTGGTCATCTATAGAGGCTCTACTCCGACTCTTGTGACTAGAAGAATGAGAATCATTGAGTGATTTGTGTGAGCGTGAAGGTAGCGGAGAAGAAGTGTCTGTCGTTCTGGAATCTGACGTTCGTTGTCTCTTGTTGCTTGGCCGCCCATCTAATCTATCACTGTCTTTGTCTTTTCTTTTCTTCTCCTCCTTTTCTTTTTCCTTGTCTTCTGCCAACCCCTTTATTTGCAGGTTGTCTGCAGTTTTGAGGAAACTTGCTAATTCACTCTGAGATACACTAACCTCACCCTGATAAATAAATTTCATCATAGCCCTCATGTCCCTCGCAGGCACATCACCAAGGATGACCAACGGGTGCTTGCATGGGTTATCACGGAGGATACGATGCAGCAAGGGGGAGCAAGCTGCCAGCACCATTTTATGGCCTGGCACTGCTTCTCCCCCACATACCAACGTCACGTCCACGAATGATTCATCTTTGAGGAGTTCATTGAATACATCTACAAAATTACTCTGGTGGTTGTTCCACTTAAGCAAGAACTCCTCCTCGCTCATGACGCACTTCCTGTAAAAAGAAAAAGAAAAGATTATTAAAGTGGTAATACTTCGGCAGCATTGAAACTTGCTATTTAAAGTGTGATGTGAGCTATACAAAAGATTAATCATAGTACAGTATACTGTATAGCAAATAAAGTGACGAACTGAAGCAGCTGTGGAGTATACAGTACATCACTAAGGTTTGTATCAAATATGATGGAAAAGTGATGAATGCAGGTTCCAATATTAGGAATATCTCAGCAAAATGAAGGTCTAATTATTAATAACATGCAGCAGATTAAACGTTCCACAATACTGTACTTTAAATACTGCACATTCCAATATCAATTACAGCACCTGTACATTAAATTTGTTTTTAATTCCACATGACTTCTAGCAATACAGTTTAGTACATCTGTACTGTATTCCAAAGTCTACCATTCAGCTATTCATAAAAAAAAAAAAATTTCCTGCCTGGCACAGTTTTATGTACACACGTAGCAAAAAATAATTTAGTACACATTTCATTTTTCGTGTCACATCTGTCCTTGTCATTCATTATCTAAAACATTAGCCCTTTCAATCTACCCACAAGGGAGACTAAAGATTGTACCGGTACTTACTCGGTCCAACACTACTGTACAGTATGCAGTACAATACCTGGACATGAAATACTGTAATGTCATATGAAGATCATTATTATAGACATGATTTATTAATGGACTCACACTAATTAGTCAGGATACATTTTGTCGAATGTGATTTGCTTTCATTATAAAAACAAATATGTACCTGTATACAGTACAGTACAGCATAGTATAATAGATTCAAGGTTTATCATAAACTACAGTATTGTAAGTATACATACTACAGTACAGTGGTCCCTTGGTTAACGAACACAATTCGTTCCAGAAGGTCGTTCGTTAACCGAAAATTTTGTTAACCGAATCCATTGTTTCAATGGGATATTGGGTAATTGGTTCCAGCTCACCGAAAAGTACATACAAAGTAGAAAAAAATGCAGTAAAGTACACTTACTTTGAGGTGTGCATGTAGAAGGCTCCTGGTTGATGATGGGAATTAGAAGTGGGGGTGGAGGAGAAGGGAGAAGAGAAGGAAGTGGGGATGGAGGAAAAATCACCTTCCAGGAGGACCATGCTTGATGCCGTCATTACACCAAAAAAATTTTTTAAGTTCACTAGGTGTAACTCAAGATTATTTTCTTTACATCAACACTGCACTGCTCTATATATTATCAATACGTTAAATAAATTTCAGAATTACCAATAATTGTACTGTAAAAATGTAAAAATACTCTGTGTTCAAGAGACCCACAAGCAAGACGTTTCCTCCACTGACCAGAGACACAAACAGACACCTTGGTGGGTGAGTGAAGTGGCTGATGGGCACACCAAAAACTAGTTCCCTGTACTGCAATTATGATAAATAAGTGTTAAAATGACTAATAATTTTAATATAAAACTTGGAAAAATATTGAACAGCACAACCTTCTTGATATTTACTCCAATGGAAACGAATGTAAGCCCAAGAACCGATTACTGTATTGGCGGACTAACCTACCAGCCGATGAGTAAGCCAAAACATGTTGACATGTTTTCATAAGAATTTCATTAATCAAATTTTTATTCGCTAACCAAATTGAAGTTTCTTTTGGAAATTAATTCGTTAACCCAAATTTCGTTAACCGGGGCGTTCGTTAACCGAGGGATTTCTGTAGTACAGTGATGTACAACTTATCACACCAGATAATCAAAGTCAATAAATGCTTTAGAGTTGTAAACAGTTAACAGTATAAAAACACATCTGACAGCTTCATAAAATATGTGGGAAAAAATGTACTGTACTCTTCATGAGACCTATTTTACAGAAGCCAGTTCTTACACACAAAAAATATTTTGTCATTTTTATTGTTCTCGGTATACAGTGCCTGGATATGTTTACCTTTTTCAACCCATATTCAGTAACACGGGATATACTTTCACCACAAAAAAGTTCTCATATAGCTGGGCACGGCAGATTTCAGAATGAGCATTATGGCTCGAGTCATCTCAGAATGATTGGTATGCCTGGTTGCGAAGTGACTCAGTATATCGTAATAATATATGTTGCTCATCTTTATAGTATTTACAAGTGAAAAGAAGTAATTTAATTTAAAATAAAATTCCCCCAGAGATCAATGTTCACAATTATTATTCGTTTTGTCATATTGTATGACCCTAAGAGCATTCAAGAAATTTTTGTAGAGAGTGTACCAACATTACACACATGAAATCAATGCAAGACATCAATGAAAAATACTGTACATCCTACATCATCATTGAGGCATTAGTCCAATACACATGACACACACAGGAGCCACACACAAACTTCTCTCAAGTGAGTCAAGCAACAAGTTAATTTTTCCATCATAAGGTAATACCTGTAGTGGCAACAGACAGACTTACTTTTTGTCAAATTGTTATTGCCAATGTTAAGTAATTATGAGAAGACACTGCAGCCCATCTATCACATACCAGCTGTATGGGTCCGACTAATTACCCAAATGTACCCAAATGTAGCCGCAATTAAGTCAAATAATGGTCCTACAAGAATAAATCGGACTGCCAATCACTTCTCGACTGGTATTTGGTGTCACGAAGTCACAAAAAATTGGTAAACTTAATTTGATCTGAGTTAATAGATCGAGTGCATGTACCTAACCTAACCTAACCTAACACAACTCATATTAAATTAAGTTTACCAATTTTTTGACTTTATGACACCAAATAATAATCGAGAAGTGATTCACAGCCCGATTTACGCTTGTAGGACCATCATTTGACTTCATTGCGACTACATTTGGGTACATTTGGGTAATTACTCGCTCCCTCGGTACATGCATGCGATCTATTAACTCAGATTAAAGTAAGTTTTCCATTTCTTCTTTATTTTGTGACACCAAATACCAATCGAGAAGTGATTGGCAGTCCGATTTATTCATGTAGGACCATTATTTGACTTAATTGCGGCTACATTTGGGTAATTAGTCGGACCGCAGCTGTATTGATGATCTAGAATCATAAGTACCAATTAAGAAGCCATCAACACACTTAAAACTGTTTTTTTACTGCATGAAGTACACAATAATACAGTAAAAAAACCCACAGCAGATATGGCATCCTTTTTCTACGATTTTCAAGGTAGTATAGTACAATACAGTACTTTCATGGGTGGTCCAAGATGCTCTACTACTTGTATATATATACTACTGTATAACAGTTTAAGTACAGTATTAATATTTTTGTAATACCTAATTTACATTGATATTTTTATTGTACCACCACAACCTTTTATCAGAAATTATCATGTAGATAGAAATTACCATTGCAATACAGTAATTATATATTTGCCGACAAAATATGATACCGACAGCTTATCCTCTTGTTCCACTTTAATACAACCCATGTTGTATTGCTTCCCTCCCACATATTATTGTGTATCAAACAAAACTAAATGTAAAGTGTGTGGCCAGACATACTGCCTCACACGCCTGTACTCACGCATTTGTGAATAAGTTACACTTTATGTATAGAACTAAACAAATACAAATAATGTAATTGAAATACTGTGTAATATTCAGTGCCATAATATCCTGACAACGGGGGTTAATTATTATGACCCTTTGTAAACTCTACTCTGTAATCCTTTCGCGCTACCGCTCACAGGATGAGTGTGGGTGCACAATAAAGAAGCCGCTGTAAGCGGCAAAATAAAAAAATCAAATATCAACACCACTGTAAAACATGTATATACTACAGTATAATATAAATGTAAACAAAATAAAATAAATAAATAAAGTGATAACTGTGGTAACATTCTGAGATGTTCTTATTACCACCATGCTATTGTACTATTCCAGATGATACTAAATGTTACATAATACTTCCTTGAGATAAATGTATAGTATATATCAGGTGCCTAAAAGAGAGCTCAGGTTCTCAACTGGCTCAGCCTATAGTTATTATTATTATTGACTATATTTTTCTGACTAAATAACTGTTTCAAAATCAATAGGTCCTTTACTTCATCTACAAAATATTGTCCCAGACCCTATCCAACCCCCTCCCTCCTATCCATCCCATCCCCCCACCTCACCATGAAAAATCTTTTTAGTTGGGGTCACTACAAGTTAGGAAGGGAAAGGAGGAAGAGAGGGATAGTGGAGGTAAAAAAAGGGGGGGGGGGGACCATAAACTCCAGGCACAGAGAAGTGGGGGAAAAAGGTGATGAAAGGCCAGTGGTTACCTGACACAAGCTGGAGAAAATAAAATGACAGCATAAGAGAAAATTATAAGGAGAGGGTATTTGGACAATAATGGATTTAGATATGGTCCAGTGTATACAAATGAGATACATGATTTACTAGAGGTAAGAGTGAAGTGTATGTGTGTGTGTGTGTGTGTGTGGCGAGAGAGTAAATGCTTTGGGTAATGTACTCCCCCCACCAACCCCCATACACATATTGCAACACCTACACTCTTAACATTCAAACACATTCCAACACCGCCACATACACACAGACACCTTCACACACACAAAAAAAACACACACTCCCACACAAAGACAAAGACACCCTCATATACAAAAGCAATACACCCACCACACACATCCAACCCCGCCCACACACATTATATATTCACACACACACACACACACTTGAACGAACGAACGAACGAAGAAAGAGAGAGAGAGAGAGAGAGAGAGAGAGAGAGAGAGCAGAGGTTGGGTGGGAGGGGTCGACCTCAGGTAGACTGTGGTAGAGGATGTGGTGGTGGAGGGGCGGCTCAGGTGGGGTGTGAGGGCGGTGACGGTGTGGGGGGTGAGCGGGATGTGAGGGCAGGAGCGTGGGGTGGGTGGGCGGCCACGTGGGGGGCGGGGGGATGGTGGGCGGGCGGGCGGCGTGGCTTCAGGCGAACTGTGGGAGGGCAGCTGGCTGAAAGGACGGGTGGGCGGCAGGTGGACTTGGTGAGTGAATGGGCGGCAGGTGGGTAGGTAATAGGGAGAGTCACAGTAGAGCTGGAAGATATATGTTAATGTTTGGGATGTGGTGTGTGTGGGAGGTGCTGGGCGTAATGTGTGGGTGTGTGGGTGTGTGTGGGTGTGTGTGTGGGGTGTGTGTGTGTGTGGGGGAGGGAGGTGTTGGGCGTAATGTATGGGTGTGTGTGTGTGTGTGTGAAAATCAATAAATATATTCGGCAAAATGAACATGAAAACAAACGGAAACACACACAGGCGCGCATGCGCACACCACTTACAAAGCTACAGATGAGTACTCCACACACACACACACACACACACACACAAATTCACCCCACAACCCAGACATTCACTCACCCACTGCACCCACACATGAGTACAACGCATACGTCCACCACATACAGTCATATACAAACGCGTATCCTTTCCCTCCCTCACACACACAACGCAATAAAGTAACTAGATATACAAGTAACAACAACACACACACACACACACACGCAAAACTCACATTGAGAAGGAGAGAGGAAGTGCAGGGGTCCGTCCACTAGGAGAGCTGAGCAGGGAGTAGCAGAGGAGAGAGTAGGCAGGGAAGCAGGTAGGCTGTGGTGGATGTGGTGGTGGTGGTAGTTGTGGTGGTTGTGGTGAGAGGCAGCTGACTCAGGATGATGGTGGTGGTAGGGGGGAGGGGGAGAGAGAGAGAGGGGGAGGAAAGGGGGGGCCTGAGTAGTGTGGTGGTGTTGGAGGGTGAGGGAGGAGGAGGTAGGGGGGATAATGGTGGTAGGGTTGGAGGTAGGGAGGAGGGAGGTGGTGGTCCCCCCTTCACCACCACAAACCAACTCAACCACTCCCAACACGCCCACATGTACACAGCTTTTGAGCCGTGGTAGTTGTTCAGGTGGGGGTTGTAGTTGTGGTAGCTGTTCATGTGAGGGTTGTAGTTGTGGTAGTTGTTCATGCGAGGGTTGTAGTTGCGGTAGTTGTGCATGCGAGGGTTGTAGTTGCGGTAGTTGTTCATGCGAGGGTTGTAGTTGTGGTAGTTGTTAGTGTGAGGGTTGTAATTTGTGTTAGTTGTTCATGAAGGGTTGTGGTTATGGTAGATGTTCACGGGGGGGTTGTAGTTGTGGTAGTTGTTCATGAAGGGGTTGTTCACGAGGGGTTGCAATTGTGGTAGTTGTTCACGAGAATTTGTAGTTGTGGTAGTTGCTCATGAAGGGGTTGTAGTTGTATTTTTCATGCGGGAGTTGTAAATGAGGCAATTTTCATGGGAGCAGTTGTAGTAGTTGTTGGTGTGAACATTAGGGTTATAGTTGCGTGAGTTGTGCATGTTGAGGGTTGTAGTTGCGTTAGTTGTGCATGTTGAGGGTTGTAGTTGCGTTAATTGTGCATGTTGAGGGTTGTAGTTGCGTTAGTTGTGCATGTTGAGGGTTGTAGAAGTTAGTTCTTGGTGAGACTTGTAGTTGTGGTAGGCTTAGTAACTGTTCATGTCGCATTGTAGTATATATTGAGGTGGAGTTGTGGTATTGTAGTTGTGGTATTGTAGTTGTGGTATTGTAGTTGTGGTATTGTAGCTGTGGTATTGTAGTTGTGGTATTGTAGTTGTGGTATTGTAGTTGTGGTATTGTAGTTGTGGTATTGTAGCTGTGGTATTGTAGTTGTGGTATTGTAGTTGTGGTATTGTAGTTGTGGTATTGTAGTTGTGGTATTGTAGTTGTGGTATTGTAGTTGTGGTATTGTAGTTGTGGTATTGTAGTTGTGGTATCGTAGTTGTGGTATTGTAGTTGTGGTATTGTAGTTGTGGTATTGTAGTTGTGGTATTGTAGCTGTGGTATTGTAGTTGTGGTATTGTAGTTATGGTATTGTAGTTGTGGTATTGTAGTTGTGGTATTGTAGTTGTGGTATTGTAGCTGTGGTATTGTAGCTGTGGTATTGTAGTTGTGGTATTGTAGTTGTGGTATTGTAGTTGTGGTATTGTAGTTGTGGTGTAGTTGTGGTATTGTAGCTGTGGTATTGTAGTTGTAGTATTGTAGTTGTGGTATTGTGGTTGTGGTATCGTAGTTGTGGTATTGGATTATGGTATTGTAGTTGTGGTATTGGTTATGGTATTGTAGTTGTGGTATTGTAGTTAGTGGTATTGTAGTTGTGGTGTTAGCTGTGGTATTGTGGTTGTAGTATTGTGGTTGTGGTATTGTAGTTGTGGTATCGTGGTTGGTATTGTAATTGTGGTATCGTAGTTGTGGTATTGTGGTTATGGTATTGTAGCTGTGGTATTGTGGTTATATTATTGGTTGTGGTATTGTGGTTGTGGTATTGTGGTTGTGGTATCGTAGTTGTGGTATTGTGGTTGGTAATTGTTGTGGCTGTGGTATTGTGGTTGGTATTGTAGTTGTGGTATTGTGGTTGTGGTATTGTGGTTGTTAATTGTTATGGTTGTGGTATTGTGGTTGTGGTATTGTGGTTAGTGGTATTATGGTTGTGGTATTGTAGTTGTGGTATTGTGGTTGTGGTATTGTGGTTGTGGTATTGTAGTTGTAGTATTGTGGTTGTAGTATTGTAGCTGTGGTATTGTGGTTATTGGTATTGTGGTGCATTGTAGTTGTGGTATTGTGGCCTGTTGTATTGTGGTTTTGGTATTGTAGTTGTGGTATTAGGTTGTGGTATTGTAGTTGTGGTATTGTGGTTGTTGTATAGTTGTGTATTGTGGTTATGGTATTGTGGCTGTGGTATTGTGGTTGTGGTATTGTGGTTGTGGTATTGTGGTTGTGGTATTGTGGTTATTGGTGTTGTGGTTATTGGTATCATGGTTGTGGTATTGTAGTTTATTGGTATTGTAGTTGTGGTATTATGGTTGTGGTATTGTAGCTGTGGGATTATGGTTGTGGTATTGTAGTTATGGTATTGTGGTTGTGGTATTGTGGTTGTGGTATTGTAGTTGTGGTATTATGGCTGTGGTATTATGGTTGTGAGTATGTAATTGTGGTATTGTGGTTGTGGATATCGTGGTTGTGGTATTGTAGTTATGGTATTGTGGTTGTGGTATTGTAGTTATGGTATTGTAGTTGTGGTATTGTGGTTGTGGTATTGTGGTTGTGGTATTGTGGCTGTGGTATTGTGGTTGTGGTATTGTAGTTGTGGTGTGTGGTTGTGGTAGTATCGTAGTTGTGGTATTGTGGTTGTGGTATCGTAGTTGTGGTATTGGTTATGGTATTATGGCTGTGGTATTGTAGTTGTGGTATTAGTTATGGTATTGTAGTTGTTTTATTGAAGTTATGGTATTGTGGTTGTGGTGTATGGTTGTGGTTTGTGGTTGTAGTATTGTGGTTGTAGTATTGTGGTTAGTGGTATTGTAGTTGTGGTATCGTGGTTGTGAGTATCGTAGTTGTGGTATTGTGGTTGTGGTAGTGTAGCTGTGGTATTGTAGTTGTGGTATTGTGGTTGTTGTAGTTGTAGTATTGTGGTATTGGTATCGTAGTTTGGTATTGTGGTTGTGGTATTGTGGCTGTGGTATTGTGGTGTGGTATTGTAGTTGTGGTATTGTAGTTGTAGTATTGTGGTTTGGTTGTGGTTTTAGTATCGTGGTTGTGGTATGATTTGTGGTATTGTAGTTGTGGTATTGTGGTTGTGGTATTGTAGCTGTGGTATTGTAGTTGTGGTATTGTAATTTATGGTATTGTAGTTGTGGTGTTATGGTTGGTATTGTGGTTATTGGTGTTGTGGCTATTGTTGTGGCTGTAGTGTTAGCGGTTGTGGTGATTGTGGTTGTGGTATTGTAGTTGTGGTATTGTAGCTGTAATTATTGTGGTTGTGGTATTGTGGTTATTGGTATTGTAGTTGTGGTATTGTGGCTAGTGATTGATTGTAGTTGTGGTATTGTGGTTAGTGGTATTGTAGTTATTGGTATTGTAGTTGTGGTATTGTGGTTATTGGTGTTATGGTATTGTAGTTGTGGTATTGTGGTTATTGGTATTGTGGTTGTGGTATTGTGGCTGTGGTGATTGTATTATTATTATGGCTGTGGTATTGTAGCTGTGGTATTGTGGCTGTGGTATTGTGGCTTTGTTGTGGCTATGGTATTGTAGCTGGTATTGGCTGTGGTATTGTGGTGTGTGGCATTATTGTAGCTGTGGTATTGTAGCTGTGGTAGCTGTTGATGGGGGTTCATGTGTTATAGTGGTGGTTGTTCGTGTATTGATGTAGTTGTAGTAGTTGTTCATGTGTTGTTGTAGTGGTTGTTCATGTGTTGTTGTAGTTATAGTGGTTGTTCATGTGTTGTTGTAGTTGTAGTGGTTGTTCATGTGTTGTTGTAGTTGTAGTGGTTGTTCATGTGTTTATTTGGTTGTAGTGGTTCATGTGTTGTTGTAGTTGTAGTGGTTGTTCATGTGTTGTTGTAGTTGTAGTGGTTGTTCATGTGTTATTGTAGTGGTTGTTCATGTGTTGTTTGTTGTAGTGGTTGTTCATGTGTTGTTGTAGTGGTTGTTCATGTGTTATTTATTATTATTGTTCTTGTTATTTTGTGAGTAGTTGTTCATTGTTATTTGTAGTTAGTGGTTGTTCATGTTTAGTTGTAGTGGTTGTTCATGTATTTGTAGTTGTAGTGGTTGTTCATGTGTTGTTGTAGTTGTAGTGGTTGTTCATGTATTTGTTGTAGTTTTTCTTGTGTTTGTAGTTGTAGTTGTTCATGTGTTGTTATGTAGTTGTTGTATTTGTTTATGTAGTGGTTGTTCATGTGTTGTTGTAGTAGTTGTTCATGTATTTGTAGTTGTAGTGGTTGTTCATGTGTTTATGGTGGTTGTTCATGTGTTTGTTGTAGTGGTTGTTCATGTGTTGTTGTAGTTGTAGTGGTTTCGCATGTGTTGTTGGTAGGTTGTTCATGTATTTGTAGTTATAGGTTTCATGTGTTGTTGTAGTGGTTGTTCATGTGTAGTTGTAGTGGTTGTTCATGTGTTTTTGTAGTTGTAGTAGTTGTTCATGTGTATTTAGTGGTTGTTCATGTGTTGTAGTTGTAGTGGTTGTTCATGTGTTGTTGTAGTGGTTGTTCATGTGGTTGTAGTGGTTGTTCATTGTTTTGTAGTTGTAGTGGTTGTTCTGTTTTGGATTGTAGTAGTTGTTCATGTGTTGTTTTGTAGTGGTTGTCATGTTTATTTGTAGTTTTATGTTGTTCATGTGTTTGTAGTGGTTGTTCATGTTGTAGTTGTAGTGGTTGTTCATGTGTTGTTATAGTAGTTTTTTCATGTGTAGTTGGAGTGGTTGTTCATGTGTTGTTGTAGTGGTTGTTTCGTGCTGTTTATTTGTAGTTGTAGTGGTTGTTCATTGTTTGTTGTAGTTGTAGTGGTTGTTCATGTGTTGTTGTAGTGGTTGTTCTGTATATTTGTAGTTGTAGTGGTTGTTCATGTGTTGTTGTAGTGTGTTCATGTTATTGTAGTTGTAGTGGTTGTTCATGTGTTGTTGTAGTTGTAGTAGTTGTTCATACTGTTGTTTGTAGTTGTAGTGGTTGTTCATAGTTGTAGTGGTTGTTCATGTGTTGTTGTTGTAGTGGTTGTTCATGTGTTGTTGTAGTTGTAGTGGTTGTTCATGTTGTTGTAGTTTGGTAGTTGTTCATGTATTTATTTGTAGGTTGTAGTGTTTGTTTATTGTATTTAGTTGTAGTGTT